CACACCACTGTATACATCACCAGCCTGGACCACACCACTGCATACTGTACATCTCCAGCCTGGACCACACAACTGTATACTGTACATCTCCAGCCCATATACTGACTAATTGTATTATCACTATTTAATCCCATATAAGCAAATTCTCTTTTCCTTTTAAAGGAAGAACTATAACTTATGCAATCAGTCTAGCATATAGTTTAGGATGATATAATTACTGTAATCTGCAATAGGACTACATGTTGGTTGGGAAATAATTGAATTCAAAAAAATATTATTCCTCTGACTGCCAAATTAGACTCTTCCAATTTTGTCAATCCTCAAAATTTTTTTAATTCACTTCCAAATTGGACAGCATTTAGTCCTATTACCTATAATTTCCTAATTTCGGTCCAATAAAGTCAACAAACCACTTTTACTCGATTTTGACTGCGAAGATGCATATGCTTCATAATTCATACAATATTCGTTTCACCACAAACATGTGCATCTTCGCAGTCAAAATAGAGTAAAAGTGGTTTGTTGACTTTATTGGAGAAATAATCAATATCTTTATGTGAAGTCTTTTCCTCCTTCCACAAAACCTTACATGTTAAATTTCAATTTCATGTTTGTTAGACATGCCCAGAATGAATGATGCTGATCAATCAATTGATACTTTTGATTTAAGTGATACATGTTGACAATACCAGGATGTCATAGCTATAAAATATAAATTGTGGTATACCTTTGGTAAGCATTCAAACACCTCTACAGGGTCCAGTCCTCCTGGGCCAAGCCTTTGTTGTCTTTCCTCCTAAAAAATCAAAAATATGTCAATGTATGTAATGCAGTTTTTGCTTGAGTATGTTTGCAGGATTATGTAGATGCTTCTAACATAATATGGAAGGGGTTTCAAAATAGGAGAAGAAAATTTTCATTACATTTTTTAAATATCATAAGCCATCAAACATATCTCACCTCTTCAGCTTCTTTCATTGCCTTTTCTATTCTAGCTTCAGCTCTGTCTCTAACCCTCTTCTTGAAGGACTGTAGCTCATYATTGAATGCATCCATATACTCAGGGAACTCAGTTTTAGCCCTCACAATTCTATATAAAAAAAGAAATTCAATAAACAAACTAGCCTCTGCATCAAGCAATCAATATTTGTACAATTATTGTTCATACAATTTTGAATACACTTGTTACTATATTTCCAGAAAGGTAGATTGAATAAACTGATTGATCGATTGATTGATCAACAGCTTAGGGTTTTTTACATATTGTATGGAATATCTGAATGCAGTGTTGGTGTCTTTTGGAGTTAGTGTATTATTTTATGACTATTAAAGTTGGTCTTCTTTTCTTAGATACAGTATGACCTTAATCTAACTACTTTGCCATATTTTTAAATTTTTTGCATCCTGGAGAATGCTGGACTGAGTAGGACTGAGTGGCTTGAGTTTGGACATAATATTCTCTGCCAAGGCTAGTAAAAGATAGAATAGCAACAAAATACCTCACACAAAAAAAAAACAACCTAGTCGCTTGTAAAAAGAATTGAAGGCAAAGAAAGCACTAAAAAGCAAGGGTTAGGTCTGAATTTCACTGTGTAAGGGTTATTTTTGAGTTCAAATAAAAAATTGTTTAAAACAAAAAGGATCTTATGATTCTTATGATTCTTGTAAAAATTGTGGAGATTTCTCCAGATTTTGCGATTTGAAACGTTTATTTGTTATATTTTACTAAGTGAAGATTTTAGACAGTTATTTAGGCCAACTCATTCAAAATTGTTAAAGGTGGTTTTTTTTTCAAATAAGGTGTGTTTTCATAGGTGGTTTCGGGCATTGTAGGTGTAAAAAAAATTAATGGCAAACACTCTACTAATTTAGTTCTTTAAAGTTATTCCTCAAATCAGGGCATAAAGAATAGAGAAGAATAAATTTATACATGTATTTTGTATTGAATGCTTACAATACTGTATGTTACTACTTTACATACTTAGTAAAGAAAGAGGAAAGAGTGGCCTTAGGGTCTGATTTAAGTTGTTTTGCTAGTTCAAGTATGTACTGTATGATGATACACTGATGTGCCACACGTTCCATCAATGACTCTTTCTGGAAAAAAAATAGAAAATGTCAATCAGTCCTGGGGGGGAACTCYGGGAAAAAGTACCGTGGATGCTAGTTGGAAATGTTCAAAAAGACCCCTAAAAGATAAAGGAAGTCTTTAAAAAAGGGCGTGGCTGCATTTAACGTATTTAACGCTCTATGAGATACCAAATCATGAATTTTTACCCCWAAGAGATATGACGAGCATCCCTGGTACTTTTTTCCYGGAGTCCCCCTCCCCCTGGGAGTCAGCTTACTATACCATTGGAGGAAGATGATGGTGACATATTRCATATCATGATAATAATTGCTTACCTCTTGTACTTGTAGATTAATACACCATAGTGCTAGGTAGTTAGCTGTATCGTCACATGTTAGATAGGGGTGTTTAATCAGATAGTCTTTGCTGTCTACATAGTCATGCAGCATCCCAAAGTGCTTGATTTCTTTCTCATATTTATCCATAAACTCTTTCTGTGTATAGAGTAAAATTGTATTCTTTCGTTTACTTACTTAGTACTTGTGTAAGGCTCAAAAGTTGAACTTCACATGAGCCGAACCTATATTGAAACAATGGATAACAAGGTGGTCTTCTTTGATGTAATAGGTTCAGCTGATGTGAAGTACTGGACCTGTAACCTAAGCCTTAGTGACATTGCCAATGTTTAAAGTAAAACTATTAATACAAGCTGTTGCAAAATAAATGAATGAAGGGAGGCACCAAAGGAAAGGATTAGGTATTTTACGTTGTTTATTAAGTCATACATTCACTGAATATGATGAATTCAATTGAAATTAAATTTCTACACAAGACTAATTGAGTATCCCCTAATTTGAATGTATCTAGAGACAGAACTAGTAGTCAGATAACAAATTYGCCAACTCAGAGAACAGAAAAAATAATGTATTATGTCCCAAACCATGAATATAAAGGTAGGCATAAAAAATGCCAACCAGATCTATTGGACCTTCCAACAAACAAAGTAGCTTCTAAATATTGTACCAACACATGGAAGAGAATTTTTGTTACTTACACTTCTCTTTTCTTGCTCTTCTGCTGAGATTGTTTCTTCTTCTTTTGGTTTAGGATGGTTTATGATCTGTTAAAAAGATACAGGTCAAAATATRTGATAGTTGGTGATGTCAATTAGAGTAACTGAGTGTAGATAAAAAGCAAATGTACAAGCAATTTTCAACATCTTACAGTTTTAGTGAATCCTTCGTGACTAAGTGTGTCTACATTCTTGGGAGCTTTCTGAAATACATGTTGWATATTTACTACTGTCAATAACAAAACATTGTATATGTACTGTCAATAACAATACATAATGTATACGTAATGTCGTAGTCAATAACAAACATTCATTTACTGATGTCTAAGAACTGAAACAATGCAAAGGTCACTGCCATTCAATTCTTCTAACAACTAAAGAGATGTCTAATTGATGGATTGTAAAAATAAATGATGTACAATAAAAAGAAAGATCAGTGACCTAGTCACACAATACCAGGATAAACACATTGATCACTGGCTGGTTGAGACTAGGTTGATACATGAATAGGTGTGAATCCACAATACTATGAATAACCTATTTCATTTCTAAAATATTAAAATGCATTTATTTATGCATTCATGCATGCATTCATTCATACATTCATTCATCCATTCATCATGCATTCATTCATCCATTATATTTAATTATTAATTCACCTTTTCAGCTTTTGTCAGTTCCTCATCTTTCTTTTTTAATTCTTTCAACTACAATTGAAAATATAATAATATGCAATTAAAAGTTGAGAGTAGTATTGTTTTACAATTATCATGAATGCAGTTTGAGTACTTCATGCTTTTGGCAGATCCCTCAGTGTTCTTACCAGGCCGCGCCACTGCGGGAATCGYGCATAAAAAACAGTAATGGCGCACAAATGTCAACTCTATGCGCCCCCAAAGGCGCATGAATTATCCAAAGAATACTTCCTGATAGTTTTAAAAGATTTATAGCACTTTTGAAATAATAAAAGTTGCATTATATTGTCAATAAACAAGGGGAAAGTCCACATGAAACGACACGAATCGAACATAGCCACCATYTTGTATTTCACTCGCCAAGAGGTCTGGGACTTGTTTACTGACCTTGTTTATTGGAGGCYCAAGTATGGCTGCCCAGCGCAAGTTTATTGTACTATCATTACTAATAAAAAACTGTCTTACATTGTTGTAGATTTGCAACAGAGTTACTGGCTAAAAACATCATTCTTTGTTTGAAGATTTTGGAAATGGCCCATCCAGTTTTCTAAATGGCCCCTAAATTTCGGATTGGTGGGCCCTTTGTAGCCTGCGTCACATCTTCGTAAATACCGTCTGCRAAWCATCTCCAGARAGCTTGTTCTGGACCCCCCGCAAATTSCGCGATTATATATAATACATTCTGATTGGCTGTTAGCCATTGCTCATTCTAACGTGAGTTTCCATTGGATAACACTATCAAACCGGATGTGAAYGAGCAAAGCGTCCTAGTTTTCAAAATGATATTTTCTCTTGATGAGGATCTTTGGACTAGAGCGTTTTTAGAAGTAAAGAATCAGTTTGAAATAGAAAATATTRGTTATATTAGTAGTCATATCTCCATTAAAATCTTTAATGGAATGATACCGACGTCGAAGAAGCTTTCAATTTCAAAAGGTTTATTTTATGAGATTCCTTTTTTTGAGCTTGTCAATACATTGACGGCACACRTGTGAACTCGCTCGTCGTACTTCAAATTATAGTGTTTGCACTTCTAAAATAGGGTTGAATTTTTGTTTTCCATTTAAAAGAAAAACTTCATAATCTTTTGCGATGAATCGATGGCACAAATTAGTAAACTTTTGGTGTTATTTTGAGAAGGGGAAAGGTCATTCTACTAGAAGATTATCAAGGAAAACACCGCACTCGCTCGTGTTACGATTTAATTTACACTAAACATCCGGTGAGGACCACATCCGGCATGATAGTGTTATCCAATGGGAGTTCACGTTAGAATGAGCAATGGCTAACAGCCAATCAGAATCTATTATGTATAATCACACAATTTGCGGGGGGTCCAGAACAAGCTTTCTGGCGATGTTTCRCAGACGGTATTTACGAAGAAAATTCCGGATGTGACGCAGGCTAGGCCCTTTGACCCCCTGAAAGAAATTTCTGGTCAGAACACTGATCCCTGATGGACGACCTCAATGACTTCATCAGATTTATATGAAGATTCAATAAATGTCATTCTCTACTGCATAAATCTTACTTAACACCAGAGTATACTAGTTGGTATCATATTTGCTATAT